ACGGCGCGGCGGTCGGCATGATGTTCTTCGAGAGACTGTCTGAACACGGTGATGTCGTGCAAGTAGATGAGACATTGTTTAGGGACTAGCCCTGTAAGCACTGTTCACATGAGCCGTTGAAACGTAGCAGGGGCATTAGATAGACCAAATGGCATGGTTTCGAATTCGTACGACTCCATAGGCAAAACAAACGCAGTTTTTGGTCGGTCTTCCGGACGAATTTCAACTTGCCAATAGCCGGAAGCTAGATCTAATGCAAAGAACCACTGTGCTCCACCCAAAGCATCTGAGGTAGCGTCTGTGTGACGTAGACGAAAAGCATCTCGTTGCGTGATTGCATTTAGGCGACGGTAGTCTACGCACAGACGTAAAGGCCCATCTCTATTCTTAATGAGGACGATAGGAGAGGTAGACGGGTTAATTACCCTTGTTAGTCAACTCTCATAAACTGTCAATGTCCAACTCTTACTACACTGGACCTCACGCTGTCCCTCGAAGACCTTCAGAAACACTTTGTATTTACCAACACGAAAACCAGAACACTGATTAGCGACTCAAGAATCCTTTATTCTTACGCCAACATATAACCAACAATAAGGTTACTACACAAAGTCTAGGAATAAATGTTATAACAACAAATCATGATTATACTTCTGATAGTTTTTTATCTTCCCTGAACAGCGAACGATGAGACGATAACTGCCGGATTGATGACCCACGAAAAATATGGAGGAGTTGGGTTTGAGCAAACAACCATGAATTGATCGTTCAATCTTCAACTACATTGACAACCCTATTTCTTAACACTTCTGCTATAATTGTGCCCGATTGCTGTTGGTATTGAATGGGTACCAGTAGAGGTGCCGTCCTGATAGGCAAGTTATCGCCTATCTTGATCTCGTGTTGTACGATATTAGTCAATTTTTGTCCATGTTAGTTGGCCATGTTGGGTTGCAGTTCCCTGGCCGTTCACTTACACATTGGTTTTCACGTTTATCCTGGAGTTATTCACATTTTATCTTGATATATGTCGTTCGGAAATGTTGCGTTTCACCTTATTTTTGTTTCCGTTGCTGTTAAAATTGGTTATTTCGTTTGTTTCGAAAGCTTTTACCACCAGCTTAGTTCATTCATTTCATTGCAATAGTTTCATACTTTGCCCTCATGCGTGATTGTAGTTTTTTAGTTGATTTTCAGCTGTTTATAAAATAGCACTGCAGAAATTTGGGAAATTATGCACATGAACATGTTTGGGTGGCAGAAGCTGCTGTTTCTAGTTCATTTATTGCCATTATTATTAGTGGCTCAGTTGCTTACTTAACATGTATAAATCTGGAAAAAGCAATGTCTTTCACGTTTATTTTTTCAGGATGCAACAATCTACGAGTGAATCTGGTGAAGAGAGCACGATCAGAGTTGATATTAGCAAAGTTTTCGAAGAGCATATTAAACCTGGAGAATTTAGAACCTGCTTTGAAGTTAAAAAAGCGTTGAAGCTTTTCGAGAAGGTGAGTATACCATCAGTCCATTAACAAACACCCGAAATATTGTGAGAGAATCTAAATCAAACAAGGTTGAGCCACATGAGAAGTGTGAATCTAGTGTGCTTGTATGCATTTTGGGGAACAAGAAAACAGGAAAAAGTCAGAAACCTCTAAAGGGTGAGTGTCAGTCACGTCTCGTAAACCTTCAATGCCCAGCTCTTGCTACGCTCGGGCTCACGCTGTTCCTTGAAGTTTCTCAGAAACGCTTAGTAATAACGGACGCGAAAACCAAAACACCGATTGGCCACTCGAGAATTCTTTATTCTAACACCAACATATATCCAACTTTAAAATTAAGTTTTAACTAAGGTCTATGAACCAATATTACAATAATAAATCACAGTATTACTTCTGACAGTTTTGGTCTGACTTCTTTCTGAACGGCGACCGATGAGACGATGACTGGTGTATTGATGCCTCCGCGAAAATTGGGGAAGTTGGTTTTGAGCAAACAACCATGAATTGATCTTTCAATCTTCAACTACATTGACAGTGAATTTTACCAATGTTCGTTAATGCTTAATATACTAGATCCAAAAACATGAAATACGAGTGCCTGTAGTAAAACCAATGTTAACAGCCATTCAATATGTTGCACAACGATTTAGAAAGAGGATAACATACGATGATCTGATGAGTGTGCGAACTATCCCAGTTAAAGGTTTTGGTTATTTTAACTAAAAAGGTGAAGACTGATAATTGGAGATGGGTAGTACAAAATCGGTCAAGAAAATTAAGATTTGCGATTGTACAGCTGAGAATCTGAATTCGCCGAAAAAAGACTTCACTGAAATAAGTGTTTTGATTTTATTTAAACACATACGGTGAAAGACTCATCTACCTGATGAATTCTCTTACCACAGAAGATTGTGTTTGCATTTACAGGTGATTTCCATGTACTGAAAGCATTCTTTTGTCAAAAAGATTGTCGTTCACATGGAAATAGCCGCATTGATATCCCGAGATGTGAAGTATTCATCGAATGAAACTTCTCCGAAAGAGGAACCTCGGTCATCTGTACAACCAACCTCGCCTAGACTACTAGCTCGCTAGCTTTCTAGCTGATCCCTAGCCCGGATAAAGAAGGAGGGTTGGTGCGTGGTGCGAGATCGGATGGAATTACATGAAAGCTAATAAAGGAGAGGAGAATGGTGAAAAAGAAAATGGTTCAATGCAAAGACGGACAGGAGAAAGAGACGATGAGCTCAACTTACAAAGCACTAGACAAAGAAGTGAAGAAGAGTGCTAGGTAGGACAAAACACGATTCTGCGACAACCTGGCCACTGAAGCTGAGAAGGCAGCAGCCAAAAGGGACCTGAGGACATCATATCAGGTAACCAAATCTCTATCCGGGAAGAGATCAAAACAAGCGAAACCTATGAAAGACAGCCAGGGGAACCCAATTACCAAGGAAGAAAGACAGATTAAACAATGGGCGGGTCACTTCAAAGGACTCTTGAACCGATCACCACCTGCAACCCGTCCAGAAATATCAACAACAGCACGTACACAACTGCAAGTTGACACTAATCCCCCAGCGAAAGCTGAAGTCTTGAACGCAATCAAGCTTCTGAAAGCTGGAAAAGTAGCTGAACCAGATGGAATACCCCCTGAAGCACTGAAAGCGGACCCAGAGGCGACAGCAGATATGCTGACTCCATTGTTGCAAAAGGTCTGGAAGGAGGGAAAGGTGCCTATTGACTGGAGGAAAGGTTACCTCGTGAAACTACCAAAGAAGGGAGACTTAGGCCTCACTCTGCAAGAACTGGCGAGGAATCATGCTCCTATCGACGCCAAGTAAAATCCTGAGTCGCATCATGCTGCAGAGAACTAAGGACGCAGTGGATAAAGAACTCCGACCAGAACAAGCTGGATGCAGGAAAGTCAGGCAAATCATGTTCTGACCAAATTGCAACTCTATTCACCATCATCGAACAAGGCATAGAATGGCAACTCAACTTTATAGACTTTGAGAAGGTCTTCGACAGCGTAGCGTTGACCGCGAAGTAATTTGGAAATTACTCGAGTACTACGGCGCACCCCAAATATTCATCAACCTTATTTAACAGCTGTACGACAACGGAACATGTCAAGTGATCCACAACGGAAAACTCGGCGAGGCGTTTAGAGTAAACACAGGAGTCAGACAATGGTGCTCGCTTATTATCACCAATGATACCCTAACTGTGGTGGACCGGATTATGCGTCAGACAGTGGGAAACGAGAAGACAGGGATATCCTGGACCGATGTGAAGAACCTAGAAGACTTGGATTTCGCGCGTGGATGATTTATTTTTGATGTCACACACACAAAATCGAAGACTTACAAGCGAGCGAAAACCGACAAACTGGTCGAAGAAGCAGCCGGCGAAGACAGGACTCCAGGTCAACATAGACAAAATGGAGGTTATGAAAATAAGCAATCAAATACAACAACACCAACGTCAAGTGCGAATCACCATGAACGGGAAGGATTTGAAAGAGGTTACTTATCTAGGTAGGGAGCATTGTCAGCTACAGTCGGAGCGGACGAGGATATCAAATCGGGAATCGAGAAGGCGAGCGAGAAGCACATTCGTCAATCTGAAACCAATCTGGAAATCTTCGTCCAACAAAATTCGGACTTCCAATACAAACGTCAAGTCAGTCAGTTCTTCTGTGCGGATCAGAATTCGTGACTTGGAGGATCACAAAGAATATTTCCAACAGCCAGTTTCAGACATTTATCAACAACTGTCTTCGCTCCATATTAAAAATCAGATGGTCGAAAAGAACCAACAACAAGAAACTATGGGAAGAAACAAAACAAGAACCAATCCCTCAACAAATATGCAGGAGGAGGCCGGTTGGTGACATCACTCATCAGACCATTGCTCGAGTGGAACCAGGCCGAAAGGGAAGCGGCGAGTGGGACATCAGTGCAAGGGTGACATGGAGGAGATTGCGTGAAGAGGATATGAAAGAGTATGGACTAAGATGGATGCAGGTGAAAAGTACAGCAGCAGAAGACAGAAGCAAGTTGAAGCCCTATTTTCCACTAGGAACCCAAGGGAATCAAGCTGTAAATCAAAAAAAAAATTAATAATATACGCCGAAAGATGCAGCTTCTACAAACAATGAACTACTCTCCAACTATCACATCTTGCTCACTTAAGCGCTATTTTGGCAAAGTCCGTCTGAAACACTAATCATTGCAACCAATATGCAAAGAGTTTGTCGCAGTCAGATCACACTACGCGGACACCAACATAACCAGTCAGTAAATGAGAATTCCCATCAATTTAGACTACAAATAACACAATGTTATTAAAAATTATTGACGAAAACAAATTTTTTTAAACGAAATTTCCACCAACATGACATATAAGTCAAGCCTGAGATTGGACAATCTACGGACTGATCACAGTCGGTGGAAGCGGTAGTTTCAGTAAAGCTAGGTTACCTTTCTAGCTGACATGGATAAGCGTGAGTTTCGTTGTTAACATGCCGGTCTAATTTGTTTACACACCTTCAAACACCTCATTTATGTCAGTTAATTTTCAAATAGTCCGATTAAGCATCCAGATCGGCGTTTCGGCAATGGAAATTCATGTGGCTATGGCACCGTCTTTGGACGCCCTTAAGTGAAGGCAGGGCAACCATGCAGCGACACAAGGACTGCATCCAAATGGCCTATCTCCTTAAAATCGCATACACCATTCAGGGGTGGGCAATTAAACTCGTCGTTTTACTTCTTTACATTCTCTCCCGTCTTACTCTCCTGACAACTTATTAATATTATAATTACTATTATTATTATTACTAATATATATATATATATATATATTATTCTTCAAACTTAATGAGCTGACTGTTGTTACGCTTTCCTATTTCCGTTTCTGTCTCTTAGTCTGAATAACTTATATATATAATTATATCTATTATTATTATTACTATCTCTTGTCGACGATACCGAAGGACTAACTGGCGAAAGGATCAACTCCAATCACAGTAGTAACAGTCTTAACATACCTCATATTACAAACCACATTTAATTAATCCCAGCACTACTCTCTTTGAAGTCAACCGAAGCTACGACAGTCGAGTGGCGGGACAAGCTACGCAGAAGTTTTCCGAAGATCAGGAACCTATACCTTACAATCAAGAGGCGAGCACAAAGAAATCAAATTGGTTTATACTAGCTCGTTAAAACGATATTGGGTACTGATTTCAGTATAAAATGTTCAGTGGTACAGACAGTGTTATCTCACATTTAACCAGATGAATGTAAACTACTACAGCCACTGCAATACATAGCTTTCAAAGACCTGTCGGAGTTACTCGTCCCAATCAAATTTTAACTTTTCGATTTGTTTAACTAGTTGCAGGAGGATGAAGTGTGGAACTTCTGTGTAAATAATGCACATGAATATTGGAAGTATATTTCTGGGGTGATTGAGATTTTGGGATAGATTAAAGAAACTACGGAAATTCTTATGATTGGTCGGCTAAGGTCAATCATCCATTCGCACCCCTTGGGACGCTACCCAGCTAGCATATTTTCGGGCGCGCTGCAGACTTTTTAGGGCAGGCTTAGGGACACTGTCCCACGTAATTTTATACGCTTAAGTTTTTTGTCCCAAAGTCTGCTGGCCCGAAAAAAAATGCTAGCTGGGTATTGTTGGACTTTGCCGGAAATATAAACACCTTGACCTATAGTCGTCTTTTTAATAGTTTGACTACATTTTGCCTCTTAATGCTAATTCTTTGCTCACGATCAGTGGTAATTCTTATTGGGGTGGCTGCTATACTTAAACTTCGCTATTGTGTAGCATTCGATCATGGCAAATATCTGTACGTCACTGTATACAAGTCTTTTATTGAATTGTAGATCGACAGCTTTTTAAAAGTTTTTGATAGACGTATCCTGAGATGGTTCTCTGTTGAACAGAGCAGGTCAGCTTATCAGAACCGTCTCATTCCACTTACCCATTGTTCATAGAAACCCTAGAAATACTTTTCATCACGATGGGACTTGCATGTTATGAAGACTTCCAATCATTTTAGGTGAGGTGTATTTCCATCCACTTGTTGATGAACGCAGTCACCTGTCAGTATGTAAAAGATGGCAAACACTCATTCTCACCGAAATACTCTTATTAATGTGGATTAGATTCCGTAATGATTAAGATTTTCTGATGAACAGGTACTAAAAGATAGCAAGTGCACCTCGGTTACGTATAAAATTTTCTGGTTCGCTTTGAATGTGTGAAACTTAGAAGACTTTCTCCCATCACCTCTTTTTATCACATTTAATTTGGTGCGTTGTGTTGATTATTGTGACTTGTTGGTAATAACTATTTTCCAACTTAGTCCTATTCCTCCGACATTGTTCGTTGATGAATGTTGTAGCCTGGGTTTTGTAACACATCCTAGCTCTGTCAGCCGATGGCTGCGTTTCACATATGCCGTCTTTACTGAGCTTAACAAATCTAACCTCACTGATTTGTCAATCGACTTTGTTGATTGAGAGGTTATGTGCTAGTGTGCTATGTCATAAAATTATATTGTACTTCTGAGGGTAGTTTACTCTAACCCATTTTGCGACATAGAAGCTTATGGGAAGTTTTCATTTGTTGTTGTGGCAGTCAGCTCATTTCTGTTACATCCAGTCTCCTAGTTACCATAAGTCTAAGTATTATTATTTTATATATCTAGCTTTTTGCATATATACTTTACATACGACGCTTGCATAAGTTAGTAATCAAGAATAATAAGCGCTTTATTCCAATATCAGTATTTATAATGCTGAATGGAATTCTCAGCATTTTGCACAATATTGTGTCTAATTTACTGAAAATATAAGTAAAATTGACCCAGGAATTTATCCTCATTTACAGTGGGAATAAAGTCGAAAATTTGCGAAGCACAAAATGAGAATAATAACTAATAATAATGATAACTGAAGTTGTTTCAAACAGTATTGTCGATACAGTAAGGGAATTTTAGCATGTTATAGAGTATTGAACATAGTGCTGTCTTGATATAGCATGTGGAGGTCAATATCAAAAAATAACAGTCATTACAGGGCTTAAGTGATGTTTACACTTACGAAAAAAATAAAATATCAGAGGATTCTAAAAATAAAAATAACAGCAGAGCTTGGTGGAATAAGGATAGGGAAAATTGTTTACTGTGGCGTAGGAAATACTTTTGAATTCTACTTCAAAATGCGTGACTTTTTGCTTATCACAGTTATAATAGTAATAACTAGACTTTACAAGGCCATGGTCCTATTCCGATTGATTACAAGTAATAGTGAGGTCACACACCTTTTTTCTGTTTCCAGAATACATATTTATTCTCATTCTAAAACTGAATGACTTACAGGAATCATTCCTTATTTATGAAAGAAATTGAATTAACTGTGTAAACAATTCTTCCATGTTTGACGATTAAATGAGATATTTTGACAATATTCAATATACATATATCATTGTCTCCTTTAAGCTCCTCCTCCTTATTATCAACCAAGTGCACCATATCCGGTTGCACCTCCCTATTCATATCCGCCTAATTCACAAAGCAATCAACCACCAAATATCGGCTTTGTCGGAAGTGCTTATCAGCCGGTAGCAGCTGCCACTTATAATGTGCCTCCAAGTAAGTTTTGTTTACCTTTTGTCTTTAAATTGCCTTATACTCATGTATTTTGTTTCTTTCTATCTTATAAATGTACTGTTGTTGAATAGACAAACAGCAAATAAGTGAAAACCTGGAACTATTTTTATCAGTATATATCTACTTTTGGTTCGGTATAATTCCATTATGGGTAAATTTTTATTTTGATAAAGTCTCACAGTGTTATACAGCAGTGTTTACTGATGACGTTTCGAGCACAATTTATTGCTCATAATCATATCAAGGTACTCACACGACTTCCTAACTTCATTTATATAGTTCCATTATTTTTCACTTGATTTGATTGGCAGTAGTATTTTCCATATTTTGGGTATGAGTGATGAATCATTCCTATTGCATGTGTTGAACAAGGATTCAGTAATCAAACTCTCTCTCCACCTATCCAGATTACTTTTTAGAATTTTAACCCTCTCCCACCATGCTATTGTATGGTTGTGTGTTAATACATGCATTGAAATTGCTGAGCTTTTTTCTAAATTACTTATCTTCTCGGGTAGGATCAACCATTCTTACCTTAGCTAAATTATTATGTTGTGACAATCTGACTACCCCTGACCTACTAGTTTGACCTATGTAGTTGACCTGACTCGCAGTCATTGCAGGGTATTTTGTAAATTAATAATAATAATATAATAAAGTATAAAATAATATAAATTATACATAATGTATATATAAATTATATAAAATAATATAATTTACAAAATACCCTGCAATGACTGCGAGTCAGGTCAACTACATAGGTCAAACTAGTAGGTCAGGGGTAGTCAGATTGTCAGAACATAAGAATTTAGCAAAGGTTAGAATGGTTGATCCTGTGAAGACAAGTAATTTAGAAAATAGCTCAGCAATTTCAATGCATGTATTAACACACAACCATACAATAGCATGGTGGGAGAGGGTTAAAATTCTAAAAAGTAATCTGGATAGGTGGAGAGAGAGTTTGATTACTGAATCCTTGTTCAACACATGCAATAGGAATGATTCATCACTCATACCCAAAATATGGAAAATACTACTGCCAATCAAATCAAGTGAAAAATAATGGAACTATATAAATGAAGTTAGGAAGTCGTGTGAGTACCTTGATATGATTATGAGCAATAAATTGTGCTCGAAACGTCATCAGTAAACATTGCTGTATAACACTGTGAGACTTTATCAAAATAAAAATTTACCCATAATGGAATTATACTCTGCCACAGTGCACAAGTTTTATTCTTATATCAATGATGCTTTTGGTTCGGTAGTATTGGGCATCAATAAAGTGAGTTCACAAAAGGAGGCAAAGTTGGTATTGCATTCTGCGCTGATTGATATATTAATATTTGATTTCATAAGGAGAATAGATGGGACTGAAAGCGAGGCTAATTAATATTTGCGGCAGTGATATGCTCATTTTAAAACCATTTAATCAGAAATGGAGAAGCCATCTACTGTCAGACGGAGTCGTCTATTTGAGAAACTATTGTAATGGAGAAAATTTCCTGATGGCCACCTACACTGATTCCTACTCGAAAGTGGATTATCTAGCATCCAATCTCAAATTAAACAGAAGACTGGCATTAGATTCCCACTTCTTGCGGACAACAGAAAGGATTTCGCCAACAGTTTGAGGACCGATATCAGTTTTTAATAAACATCAACATGAGTCAAAGGTTATTCATTAAGTTTGGTTAGTGAATATTATGAAATTGAGTAATTTTACTGAACTGACTTGTGTTATTGAGCACGATACCTTATCTAAAAGAAGGAATGTTTGTGAGTAATAAATAAAAATAACTTTTATCCAATGTCGTATTGAAGCGCTGTTCATGGCCTTATTGACCAGTTGTCAATGTTTATTTATTTATTTATTTAAACGCAGAGGAAACTTGGTACAATATGGCACCAAGAAAGATGCGCCACACAATAGTAAAACAACATAGATCAAAAGTATATATATATATTTATAAGTAGAGAACGGATAAAGAACTTCATCTGGAAGGAAAACAGTTATGCTTAACAAGTTCAAACAGTATTCGTTAACTGTCATCGGGAAGGGAAGAAAGAAGGAAATCGCAATACGTTCGCCATTGATTACGATTCTTGGCCACACCCGATAACGTTTCGAGCCATCGATTCGAGCTATCTCGCGGACCCTAACCAGGGAGTCGTGACACACCAACCGATGCTAATCTAGCACAAACGTCCTTCATCCCACGATGCCACGTCATGGACTGACCACCCCTCCGCCTTTTCCATTCCGTCCCAGGACTAGCGAACAGAGACCTTACGAAAGCCTCTGGAATGATATTCGCAGCACAAGTTGGAGCCACCGGAGCCGGCGTTTCCAGAAGACGACACTCAATGAATGGTGATCTCCACTGTGTTCAAACACACGCCGCCGAACCTCAGAATTACTCACGCGACGATGCCATCAAACGCAAGCAATCCTGCGGAGACAGCGATGATCGAACACCCAGAGTCGTCGCACATCCTTAGCTCATCCATCACCCTTCCGCCAGCACTCACACAACTACCAAGATACACAAACTTATCAGCAACTTCAAGCGGTTCACCGCAAGAGTGAGTGCAGCTACAGGATCCTGCCAGTCTTGTAACAGTACTTTGCGCTTAGAAGGCAAAAAGTACATACCATACTTACAGACACTGATCGCCAGCTGACTAAGTGCGATTTGGGCAGCCTGCATGGTATCGCACAGTAAGACGATATCGTCTGCATACTCGAGGTCAAAAAGTCTATCTCCAGGTAGCAGATCTCCAGAATGTCATCGATGGCAAAGTTAAAGAGCAATGGAGAGATTGGGCAACCCTGTCTAACCCCATTGTTTTACTCGAGGCATCATTATTACTTGAAATCATTGTTACGACCGCACGATGCGTTTCAATGATAGTTTGTTGCTTTGTTTCATTTATTGTGTCAGGGCTGAGATACTGCCCGGGCGCCCAGACCGAAGCAGGTGGTATTCTGAAGGGACCACCCCCTGAGCCTTTGACTTGGAGTCTAATCCGCAAGGCAGCGAAGCAGCGTCAGGAGCTGCATTCCCATGGTTTCCGGTGACCCATACGGGTTCATACGCCATTTAATACCATTTGATACTGGAGTCCATGTATCCCATGATAACTGCTTTTAGTCTAACCGCTATCCAAACAACCTTCCTGACATGCTAGGACCTGCAGGGACATGAGTCCCAGCCAGTTTAGCTTGTTGGGTCACTGCGATATTCAAACCCGACCACCACGGGCTGGGATTCTGAAGCACAACCCTATTAACATCGCTTCGTAATCTGAAAATCATTGAATTTTATCGACAAGTGTACTGCTGTCCTCTAGGATTGATGTTTCAATATCTGTATGGACAATTCCAAATGAAGACATCATCCTTTGGTTCTTGTAAAAATAAACTGAATTTTACATTGATTGTTAAAGACTGATACATGAAATTATGATTTGTGTTTACAAAAATATCCGCCGTTTTCCTTGGCTTTGAAATACCTGCGTGAACACCTTATCAACTGCTGAATACATTTGTACTCGTCAGGAGTATTCATTCGATTTCAAACCCTCACCCTTCATAAAATTATGTTAATTTTTTGTCGTATACTTTATGACCGTAATTCTAGTGCGACTGACTACTTTTTTACTTTATATAATTACAAATTTACAGTTTGGAAGTGAAGTTGTCGAGAAAATCTTTTCTCTAAACAAATGTTCTCCTTAATTATGTGCGTGTTTGCAGATCAGTTTGTGAGTAACACGTATTTCTAGCTAATGTTAGCACTTCGTTTAGTCAAACCTCAGATTAGGTAGATCGCTTAGTAGTTCATTAATCTTAATACGTTCTGAGAATCAACAGTTTGTCACACTAAATTCAGTTTTGCTAAACTTGTAATCTACTCAGCGCAATTTGTCTTTGCTTTAAAGTAGTAATTAATAATAACAATTATAACTGTTGTAGTGATTCTGTTAATATTACTGTATTCCCACTACAGCAACAGTGGTTGTTCAGCCGACAGTAGCTGGAGCAGTCTTTCATCGATCTCCTGTTGGTACCACTTGTCCTTTCTGTCATAATTATGGTATGACGAGAGTTGAACTAGAATCTGGATGTTTACCGTGGTTACTCTGCGGAATCATGTGTTTCTTTGGGTAAGGTGTTTTTTGTTTTCCGTTTTATGCATCTATGAGGAATTATAAAATTACGTTTTACAGGTATTTTTGTTACCTATTTTATAAGTGACTGTTTTCATTGTCATATTGATACCCAATTCGGCATAATCCGACTTTAAATGATAAATAGGTGACGAGTTTTTTTATAGGTCTATTATCAAACAAATATCTAGAGTTGACAGTCTACTTATTGCCCTGATGGTAAATAAATTAACAGTTGCTATTGTTACCGTGATGTAGGAAATACTGTTGAATTCTATTTCAGAATGCATGGCTTTTTGCTTATCACAGTTATAATACCAATAACTAGGCTTTATAAGTCCATGGTCCTATTCTGATTGGCTAAAAGTCAGATGTTGGATTTTATTGTTACTCATAGGTGACTTCAGCTGTCAGACATCAGGACTACTTTCCCTAGTCGTCACTAACCTTTCAGTTAGGAAAAAGAAATAAGAAGTAATGAAAGTTTGAAAATAGTCACACTTATGATATAGACAATTGTAAATGAAATGAAATACGCAATACGCTCTATTCATCTCAATTTAAAAGTAGACAGTGGTTAATCTTTCATCTCCGTAGTTTATTTTTAGCCATATCAGAAGCATTCAACTTTTTGTTTTCTGTACCTAATACTTACGCATGCAACAGTATGGCATAAGTCAAATAAACTACACGAATGACTTTAGTACATTCAATCCCCTTTTTCTTATCTCAGCTGTCAGTAAAGATTAAGCCTGAAGTGACATTTCAAATTTCATATATTTAAATAAGAAACCTCTAGATCACCTAATTCTACTTTTTTTCAATATGCAAATAATTCTACATTTCATTATCATTGTTTATTAGACATATTTTACTGTCTGTGTACTTTTGGTCGACCGAAAAGCAGTAACTTCGAAAGCTGTCAATCTCAAATTAAAATACTGTCTCACAACAACAGAAATATGACTGACTGAGTTTCAACCTAGACCTTAGCACAGAAGTACAAGAGTTCATTATACCACACTTCATTCAGAACAAAAAAGGAGAAAAATGAATTCAGAAGGATTATAATAAGCATAAAATTAGGAGAGAAGGAATAGTAATACAGAGAAACTTTAGGGTCTAGCGGATATGGGAGATCACAAAGAGCGAATGCATCTATGCCATTGAGAAAGATTTTGAGCCGTATCACCAACTGTCTCCAGCCATCGATTCCTGGCATCCCAAGGATCCCAGTCTAAGGCCTATTTGGCTCAAACTGGTCGTTAAGGATTTCATTGACCGATGCCATATTTTGGTTTGACCATCAGTAACTCTTTTCCAAACTGATCAGTCCTATGTCAGCTAACATCGTTTGACGAGGAAGGTGATGGCTGGTCACCCGCCAAAACTTGTCCTAACCATCTCAATCGAGGCAGCTTCACAACCGGGTCGATTGACTTTCCCTCCGTCCCTAACACTCGACATCTAACTTCAATATTACTCAATGTATTATACCACTTAACTTAGTAAACAGGTCTCAGACACCCGTAATCATAAACAATTAACCTTTTCATATCTACAACAGAAATGTATTTCACATGAGTAAATATTAGCCCAAATCTTGGACATATCTTTCCGAATAACTACATAACACAAATGCATCTGGTGCCAATTTTAATAATAAGTCGATATTATGCCTAGTCTTGTTGTAAGTTTTTTGCTGATAAGATAAAGAATTCTTTATAAGCACGAATGTTTATTCAGTTCAGCTTCATAAATAAATGTGACTAGTATATTTGGAGGACTACTTTTCTGAGATAATTCCTACTTTTTTAGTCTTTCTAATGCTATTTTATCTCTACCCACTTCTCATTGAAAGTTTTAGTGAATCGAATTGATATACTTTCGGGCAAAATTTTAAGTTAGTCAGTTAGTTAGTTCGTGTAGCACAAATATAAGATTTGTTCATTTTTCACTTTTCAAGTATTTTGCTAATATACATTTTTACTTATTATTATTGTATAGTTGAAATGGATTGTGCTGTTAGTGTCTAACACAAGCCTATTTTTGTATAATTTAATGTACTTGTACTGATGTATAAAGAAATTAAAGGTTTGCTTATCCACAGAAATACACTCTGAAAAGTAAAGAGTACAAGTTATTTTTGAGGGGACATAGTTGACTAGGGGGACTGTAAATGTATGCATGTTAAAGAGAACAGTGGAAGTGCATAGTAATGACTAAAAATGCAAGTATGTGTACTCATAAAATCGTACTTTAAGTTACCTTTCTCATTCTTAATTATCCCAGAAGCTTATTTAGCTAATAGTCAAGTATTTCCAACATAAATATTGTTTATTTTGAAGTTGAATGTATTTAAGTGACATGAAAATCATCACTATACACATTAATAAAAAATAACGTTTGGTAGTGCGCTGAGTGCAATGGTTGCACTGATTTTTGTCAACTTTATTTATCATAGGGACTGTAAAATTCCTTGAAAAAATCCATCGATCAGATTGGAGTTATCCACGGCGATTTGAGAGCATATTGAGTAGTAGTAATAATGAGAGGTTTTTAACTAGATTTTTCTCGTTTCATATAGACGAATTTTCCCTTTAGGAGTGGCCTGTATAAGTTCCCTTATGTGAAAAACAGTAGTGAATTATTTATAAGTTCTTATCAATATGCCTAGTGCGTTTCAAAAAAAAGATGAAAGCAAGGGTTTTGTGAAAATATAGTATATATACGTTCACCAGCTACAGCTATGTAGGAAAGTTATAAGATGCTCGATCTAACGGGAACCCTCATAGTTGGATTTAACACATTCCGGTTTTTCAGTTTTAGAGGACGTATGAATGATTATATATTTCTAGCCTGTATAAACTGTCTTGCATTAATCAGTCGTCAGTTTTATAAACTTTCGAACTTAACAAGTGGTACGCAGACAATTTTAATATTATATGGAATAAGTGTTCAGGTAATTATACATCATAATCTGTTGTCAGTTAGTTGCAGCCTTCCCATGTGTCCTCAGACTTGAACATTTTGTAACAATCACTGTTCCAATTTAAAACTAGTTGTTGGCAGGGACGAATTAATATCAATAGGAGTTACCTGAAGTATTCTATATCCATCATTCTTGACTGTCTGCCAAGAGAGACGTGGTTTGGGGCTTATGAATTATCTTATTTCTAGTCATTGTCTGTTGGGCTTTCACGGTATATCATCGGCACAAACGATTGACTGGTATTACTTACCACTATTGCTCTGTGTTTCATTACTTTTTGAGATGGATAATCTTTGGAAAGTTATTGCGTAGGCTGCATATACACAGTCTTCTTTCTGCATCATGGTATATAAGCTAAGAAAGTTTCCAGTTCCTAAATGGCTGCTTTCTCAACTCATAATCATCAGATATTATTAATGACTCGTTAATAACACTAACCGTATCATTTCAACTAATATGTACACACTTTCATTGTTTTCGGTTTTTAATTTTATCTTCAGATTGTTTTGGGGTTGTTGTTTAATTCCATTTTGTCTGGATTCTACGAAAAGTGCAAGACATTTCTGTTCAAGTTGTAATCGTCAGATTGGATTTTACAGTCCAATGTAAAATCTCCCACGGCTTTTTGTTTTCAATAGATGACAAGTCAAAGAAAGTTGTTCTTGTTGTTTGAATGATGAAAGTATCTGACAATCATATACATATATATATATATATATATATAATCAATTACCAATCAAGTAATCAGTGTATAAGCTATATTTTCAAGATTTTAATCATTCTAATATTCCCAAATTCACCTGTTTTCAAGGAACACGAAATACTATTTTACTAAAATATTTAAAATTTGTACAATTTCAGTATCATTAAAATTAATCATCACTATTCTGTGTCGTTCCCCTTTGCCTAAATAAATTATTCTTCACTTGTACTACTCTTAGCGTGATTAGTGAATGCTTTTTGTCGATTAAACTGAAATTTTTTATACCGTTTAAAATTTTCTGAAATAATTTCTAGTCTCCAATGTGTCTGCACTTATAGAAGCGTAGTGATAGTGTCGATATATATATATATATATATATATATATATATATATATATATATATATATATATATTAACTATAGAGCTTTGGTTCATTGGTCTAAACTTTCAACTTCTAAACACAGGTTCGAAACCCCGCTCTACCTATCGAGGTTTAGACAGCCAAATAGTATTATTAGCTTTCATACAATTAGTATGGTTCATCATCATCAGTTGCAGTGAAATGCAAGTGGGTGTTGATTGACACTTATCCTTCGATTATGATAATGACAGTTTGAAGTGTATACTTAATTTACAATTATGAACTTCCATCCATTCTCAATTTCAATGAGTATCAAAATATGGCAGAGTTCACTGGTTTATTTTCATTGACACATTACAAATGTCAATAAAGATGTGTGAAAATGGTAAAATATTTATGATGTAATTCTTAAATAACATGAAGTCAATCACAAATGATCGAAAGATTATCTGGCACCCAATAAACTCCTACTTACAGAAGTAGGAATGGCTAAACTTACTTAAAAATTACTTTTATATGTAATTTTCGTAGACAGTTTACACCGTAGACCTTAAAATATGGAAGCACATATACTGATTAGTATTGAAGTAAATACGTTTAAAGACGAAAACGACAAAACAAAAGCCTGCAGGTAAGACAGACCTCAAAAAACTATACAGAATAGCCAGCTGGTTATCTGTAGGTAAATAAACACGGATAAAGGCAGCGAAAGATAGTGAAAGAAAGCTAATTATGAAAGTGGTGGAGCAGAGTAAATACTGGGTTGGTCACTTTAAAGGACTCTGGAATCGATCACAATCTACACCTCGTCTGGAAATATCACCAATGAACACCAATCCTGCGACGAAAGCAGAAGTCTTGAAGGCTATGAATTTACTAAAAGAGGCACGACCAAATAGGATCCCACCATCAGCAAACCACTGAAAAACGGTTGGAGAAGTCTCAGCGATTATGCTCACACCATTACTACAGTTATGGAAGGAGATGAAGGTGCCTGCGATTCCAGGAAAGGTTACCTTGTCAAAGTCCCAAAGAAAGATGACTTGAGCGTATGAAAGAGCAGTTCTACAACAATGCTCCTCTCCATTCCTAGAAATATTGCGCCACATCATCCTGAAGCAACAAAAAGATAGGCTGGATGGAAGAGTTTACCCGAATGAGTCTGGGTTTAGGGAACCTAAATTCTCTGTGGACTAAACTGCAACACTGCTTATCATCCTCGGACACAGAATAGGAATGACGGTCAACTTTTTATTTCAACTTCATCGACCTTGGAAAGGCCTTCAACAACACTGACTGTGGAGTATTCTGAAAAATGCTTCAACATTACAGAATTCAGTAGCACAAACACTTATAAACCTCACTCAACAACTGTGTGATGGTTAAGCTGCATACCAAATAATTAACAGCGGGAATTCCGGTAAATACAGAGAGGCCAGTTGCGATGATCATATGCCATCAAAAATAGCAATCATCCTCAATGGAGTAAATCTGAAGGAAGTCGCCTCTTTCATGCATGTGAACTGGTCAGCATCATTCCAATTAGAAGTGATACGGATGGTTATGTCGGAGCCAGCAAGGATGATGTCGTGAAAGCAAGGCAGGTGTTTATTACTTTGAAATCAGTAATTAGGGTCTACAGTACTTAGCACAATGACAAGATCCGAATTTTCGAAATAAGCGTCAAGTCAGTGCTACTATGTGGTTCAAACACTTGGTGCGGGTGTAACCAGCGCTCTGCAAACTCTCATCAACAGCTGTTTTCACTGCACCGATACTTAAAATCGGATGGCTGGCAGGGAAAAAATAAGCAACAACATCCTATCTGTCTGTCTGTCTGTTTTCGACATAGAACTTTGCACATATGTGCACCAGTTCAAGTCGCCACATTCCGTGTAGCACGCGAAGCAAGAGAAGAAAGTACAAGAAAAGCATAATAGAAACAGTGAGCAGAGGTGTGAGACAAAGGAGTAATAAAGAAAAACAAAACAGTTTCATTGGAGATCAAAAGTCACAAGGAGTGGATGCATCTGCGCCACTGAGAACGATTTTGAGACATGTCACCAATTGTTTCCAACCATAGATTTTTACCGTCCCGAGGACCCCAGCCTGGAAGTCTGCACCTTTCTACGTGGCTTAGACCAACTGTTGTGGATTTCATTGACTGATGCCAAGTTTTTGTTTGACCGCCGCTAGCTTTTTTCCAGCCTGACCCTATATCCGCTAACATAGCTCGTCGAGGGAGGCGATGGCTTGGCATACGTAACACATGTCCTAACCATCTCAGTCTTTGTAGCTTCACGACTTCGTCGATTGATTTCCCCTGTTTACCTAGAACTCTACGCCTAACCGCCATGTTGCTGGACAGATATCCAGAAGTAAGTTAGAATGGATTAGATATACTCTGAGAAGACATTCAAATGTAATCATACGCGAGTCCATAGAAAAGAACTCGAATGGGAAGTGATGGATCGTGTGGCCGAGACTGACATTCAGAGGACCATGTGGTGATGAAATGAAGACTTGTGGGCTATTGCAGAGCTAAATGAAAGTGATGTCAGAGAACTAAGTAAGATAGGAATGTGCTGGTGAAGTTTGTAAGTTCGATTCTAAGCCAAAGCAACGAACAATAATAACAATCTTAGAAACTATCACCCATCCCCTTACTTGTTTATAACTTTTACAAATTAACTGGTCTTGATTTTCACAATTATTTCCACCTCTTCTATACACAAAATGCATATTTCTTATTGATTGATATCATATTATGATTGGTATGGTTTAGGCGTATTATTAAAAAGCCATATATGAGTGCGGAACCGTTGATGAGGTGCAGATTTGAAAACAATATGTTTCTTCGCAGTTCTAAAATGACGATATTTACAACGTGTATCCCTGGCATCATTTACCAGTTTGATTTCGGAGCTTTTGAAGGAGTGACAGTCACTATGTGATTCTGGTGATAATTCTGCTTATATTCTTACACTAAACAGTAGGTTAGCTGAATTAACAACGTAAATTGCATCAGTTCAAGTTGCCACGCTTCATACGGCAGCTGTAAAGGTTGAAAAAATGCAAAGAAAGTAATAATGTATGGGAAGAAGAATATTAATATGGAGAATCATTAGGATATAATAGATATCAAAGATTACAGAGAATTAATGCATTTGAGCCATTGATAACAATTCTGAGCCATATCGAAAACAGTCTCCGGTCACCGACTCTTAACCTGTCGGAGACCCCAATCTAACAGTCTATACTACCCTGCGTGACTCGAACCAACAGTCGAAGACTTTATGGATTGCTGTCATGGTTGGGTTTCATCACTCCTAACTCCGTTTTCAACCTAATCCTATGTCAGTTAACATTGTTGGAAGAGGAAGACGATGACTTGTCATGTGTAACATGTCATAGCCATCTCAGTCGATGAAGCTTCACAACAGAATAGATTAGCTTACCCTTTCTTACATAACACTTTATGCCAATCTTCAATATAACTCACAATATTTACCAGTTGGCGCGTAAGAAAGAAAGCTTCAATTCTTCCACTGTTAACAGAAGGACAGCAAATTGCCACACAGTACATTCGTCCTTTGATCTATAACTGGATATCAAGTCTACACTATAGATAACGTAAGTTAGCACATGCTATGCGAATCTTTTGTATCTGAGCTGGTACCTTGTCATCAGTCAGTTATTTAAGACTGATGTAACTTCTGAAATGAATGACGTGCTGAGCCATTTCACCAATTATCCTTGGAGTAAGAATCAGTGGAGATCAGCCCTGAAATATCACCCGCATCCTGTAAGTTGACGAGAGTTTTTTCTGATTAGAAATCGAATCCCAGGTCTCTCAAACCTATCAGAGTGGCCTCCATTAGTACATCTATGACATTTTTAACCGAAAACTGAGGCATTAAGCAGCACTGACAGACACTACTGACTGTTATCACTTAGAATAACAACTTTCCATAAGCTCGTACACGGTTGTGTGATTCCGAGTTGAGTGATTGCATTGATTAGTGTGTTATGCTTTCTCGCTTCACGGCCACAGCACCTTTTGCTCGATGGGTTCGAATGCTGACTTCAGGTGAAGGAATATGGCAACCGTTGCACACCGGTAACTATGTATATGTTCCAGAAACAGTCAAAAGATGTGGATCCGATTAATACGTCCTCATTTATGCCTAAAACCTGGCTACCTGGATTTCACGGATTTGTTTCTCCCGAGCACCGATTCGTCTGTACACGATTATTGCACCTAGAATTCTGGATAGTATGTTATTGAAGCTTTTCTGTCTATGATGATCACCGGAATAATTGTCTCCCATTTTATAAACTGGAATAATGAATTCATGATAGGGAGCGGGATTGTGTTTTAGAATTCTTTATTTAGTTTAAAGAACTGGTTTCAGCAAAGAACTTTGCATAGAAGTTCAGCAGTTCGAGTTGCCACACC